AAAAAAAAAAAAAAAAAAGAAAAAAAAGAATAAAGGTTGTTTAAATGTTGTTCATTATTGAGGGTAATGAAGATTCTTTATAATCCATACCCTATGCCTTTCTGCTTTACCAGGGCAGGTTTATGCCACAGCCGGGCTGGGAACAGCATCTAAACTCCTCTGTGGAGTAGACAGACCCCTTTTGTGAGTGCATGACCGATTCAAGTATATGCCTCATAAGCTCAGCTTGAAAAAAGTAAAATCAAAGAAAAAACACAACAAACCTGTGAGTATGGCAAGTTTAGATCACATTAACTCTACACCATCATTAAAGGCAGAGTTCTTCCAGAATCTGGAAATACCCAACAGGGCCTCTTTGTTCCAGCCCTGCACTCCTAAAAGAGCAATTCCAATCCCAACAGCCCGGAGGGTTACACAGTTGGCCCTGGGCGCGCCTGCCAAACGCCCAAGACAGTTCCCAGGAACTTTCCGCTGGCTGTCCGCTGGCTGAAGTGTTGACAGGCTCGCGAGCAGAAAGAGCGGGCTGTTAATAGGAATATACATCTCAGAGAGTCAGAAACCAACCTACTCAGATTTCCCAGACCATCCTCCACTCCATTTCTCTCTTCCAAACAATCCAAGTACAGATTCTCTTTTTTAAACCTTCCTCCAGTGAAGTATTTACGTCCCCGCTTCTCCCCACCCGGAAAAAAAGAGAAAAAAAAAAAAAAGAAGCTGTAAGGTTCTCGATGCCAAGGAGAGTCAGCTCACCTCCCTCTCTGCCCCCCAGGTTCTCCAGGATTCCAAGGGGCGGGGCGGGGAAGGGCGGCTTTGGCGGCAGCTTCCCTCCTGGGTCTGCCCTCGTCTCACTCGGCACCGCCCTCACCTCGTGTTCAGTCCTGTCTTCTGGGGCCTCAGGGCAACTGGAAAGTATCTTTTGCTTACCAAGAATGCGGGGACCCCTGCAGTTCAGGAAGGTTTTTATTTTACTTTCTTCTAAGAAGGCTTTGTTTTTCTAAAAACACATATGACTATTCTGATGGTTTTAGGGACATCAGTGCCTCCGTGCTAGATACTGAAGCTCTGAGTTGGTACATTTAAAAGGTAATGAGAGATCAATTAGACCTCAAGAAAGCTGGAGAGAAAACTTAATGTGTCAGAGAGAAAGAAAGAGAGAGAGAGAGAATGCTAGCTGCCCTAAAACTGATCTTCCTCTTCTTCTACAATAATAAAAGCCTTGACATTGAGCTGAGGTACCTGACCACCTAGAATACAGCATTCCTTTCTCAAGTTGCCCAGCAGCTAAAGGAGGCCATCTAACTAAATTCTGGCCAATGCGATGGAAGAAGAAGCTCTAAATGTTCTTTGCAGAGCATGTTCCTAAGTCCAGAGCAAGCCCCTTCTTCCAGCCCTTCCTCAATCCAGCTGCCTGGACAAGGAACTTGGTGCCAAAGGCAACATGCTAGGAATGACAGAGTAACAAGATATATAGAAGGAACCTTGCACAATGCAGCCAAGTGTCTATCTCTGGACTATTACGTGAGAGAGAAATACATTCCTATCCTGTTTATGCCACTGTTAATTTGAGTTTCTAGTTTATTTCATGTAGCCAACCATATTTGAAGCAGAGATGGGTTTTCAATGAAGTGAGTGAAGCATAAACTTCAGAAACCCTCCCTTGTCTGGGATTATTCCAAGGCGGGAGGAAGAAACTTGGCCTTGTGTTCCCATGGTCATTTTGTATTCTTTTCCTTAAAGGGTTCCCCCGAATTGCATAGGCCCCATGACCTGAATTCATACCTCATGCTCAGTAATTCAATGAAGCTTTTCAGGTGTACCTCTTCTGGTAAGCGAACCTGAAATACAGAACAGCAAGTAAATACGTCAGAGCTCTCTCCTGCATGAGCTACACTCTAACGTACTTGGTGAGATTTAAGAATATCACAGTCTATTGTTTCTCAAAGTATATATTCTTAGATAATAATGACTGTTGTAAGAAAAAGGAGTTTTATGATCAAATAATTTGGGGAAATGCAGTATTAGCTAAAACATTTGTGAATATGTTAACTTTAATACCTCTCAGAGGATTTCATTTGCAAGTGTGAATAGGGAATCTCCCTAAGAGAATGCTGTGTTTTTTAAACTCATTGGATTACTAAACCCCCCTATTAAGGAGTTGTTCACGGGCTAGTTTTCTGAGGAGCACAATTTAGAAATACCCACCAGGTCTCAGCTGGAAATATTTGTAGACTATCTCTTAGGACAAAGTCTGTGATTTTTTTCTTCCTTATCTTATTTTTTTAAGTTGCTCCCTGTCTGGAGTTTGTTGCCCAATAAGCATGAATTCCAACAATATTGCCGTTTTTAGATTTACACTGGCACATCGCTCAAGTCTCCAACAAAAGCTAGGAGTATTATGCACAAAGTATTAGGTCACCTGTGCAGGAAAGGGTGTGACTTCAAGGGAACTGGGGTCACACTGAGGTTTTATCTCCCACGAGGAGGTTTTTTGATAGTGAGGTATGGAAAGCTACAATCACGATTGAGAAGTGGTTCTACATAAAATCCCTTCTTTTTTTTCCTTGTGTCAATGTTTGTAGAAATGTCCCAGCTCACTTGTGGGAGTTAGATTTTCCTTATAGGGAAATAATTAGTCTCCAGGCTTCTTGCCTTTAACTGAAATTTAAGTGTTCACACTTGTATTTGTCTTCTCAGGTTTCTGTATCAGAATTCCACAAACTGGGTGGCTCAAAACAACTCTCTTCTAGTTCTGGAGTCTAGAAGTCTGAAATCAAGGTGTCAACAGGGCCATGCTTCCTCTGAGACTCTGGGTAGAATCCTTCCTTGCCTCCTCCTGGCTTTTGATGGTGGCTGTCAGTCCTTGGTGTTCCTTGGCTTACAGCTGCATCACTCCAATCCCTGTCTCTGTCTTCACATGGTTTTTCTCTTTTTACAGAAAGTAGAATATCAACATATCTTTTGGAAGGATAAGGCTCAACCCATAACACCGCCAAAGAACCTGTAATTATCTTTTGGGCAGCACACTGTCATAGCGGACAGAGCTCTGAGTTAGGAGGGAGAAGCTCTGAGTTGGTGTTGGGCAAATGTCTAGCCTGCATTTCCATATACATAACCAAGGATAACAATACACTCCTTGATTTCCCTCTAAGCGTTGTGACAAAGATCTAGAAAAGTGCTCTGTGGCCTTTCAATGATAATAGAAGTGCTGTTGCTGTCTTTAAAGGGCAACATGGCCGGTGTGGGCACCTGACATTTAGTATATCATCTCATACCTAACTTTAGGCAATCATTTTGACTTCTACCGCATATAGCTCCTTAGTAGATAATAATTTTTTTTTTTTTTTTTTTTTTTTTTGCTATCCTTGCATTGTCAACTAAGTGATGTCAGGCGGTGAGGGGAATCCTTGCAAGTGCAGCCAACTCACAAATTGAATATGAAGCACTGAGTAATGGAAAAATGCCCATATTGCTTTAATAACGATTCTGTGTGTTTTAACTCAAGGTAAATGACTGAAAAATGCCAGTGGAAGACTTTTTTAAGACTAGATGTTAATTGGTATATCCAAATTAACTCAGCACCCATTGTATATAAACTACTACTCTTAAATTTGATGCAATAATAATGAAACAGTAGAGCTGTGGTTCATAAACTGATGTCCTGGGTCTCTAGAGGCACTGCAGGTAGTAGTAGGGATTTGCATGCAAGTTCTAATTTTGCAGAAGTCCCTAAAATCATATTTTCATTTAGTTAGCACAACATACTAAAATGTTCTTCTTTTTTCTTTGGATTGAATTTATTACATAATTTTGATTATACTGGTTATCTCAGGCTGGGTAGACGTTCTCTTTGGCAACTATATACCTTTTTAAACAAATAAAAATGAATTATTTATGATGACATAGTTAAGATCATTTAAAAATCAAACTGGAGTAAATGTGGTTCAGGCATCCAAAAATGGAGCCGGGTGGCCATCGTGGATTTGGTTTCAGACATGTTTCTGCATTACTGAGAAGCTGAATTGTCTGAACTGTATCAAACTCACGGACACCACCAGTTATTTTCACAACAGTATCTCTAGCAGCTGCCAACCTTATGGTCTCAAGGTCTCCCCTTATAACTATGCAACTATTTCAGACCCCAATCAATCCTTACTTAACAAGCACCCTTCTTTCTTTTTTTTTTTTTTTTTTGCGATACGCGGGCCTCTCACTGCTGTGGCCTCTCCCGTTGCGGAGCACAGGCTCTGGACGCGCAGGCTCAGCGGCCATGGCTCGCGGGCCCGGCCGCTCCGCGGCATATGGGATCCTCCTGGACCGGGGCACGAACCCATGTCCCCTGCATCGGCAGGCGGACTCTCAACCACTGCGCCACCAGGGAAGCCCTTAACAAGCACCCTTATTTCTTGCCAGCTCCAATCCTAATTCTTGACAAACATCTTATGTAACTTTGCGGTTTAGGCTGTTTATTATTTACGTCGACATTTATAATGTGTAATTGTTTTGGTATACAGAATCTTAAAAAACATGAGAATAGAGGGAGATTGAGATTTTAAGAAGAGATTCTTAGTAATTAAAATGTTGACAAAAGGGTAGATTTAAAAGGTATGTACTGATCATATGACCCCCTTTTAATGAACATAGACAGAACAAGACAGTCTCCCAAATACTTGGTTCTATTTCTGCTTAAAACCATTACTTGACTTAAACGCATTTTCACTATGACCTTCTAGAATTTCCTGAACAATGTTCCGCGGTTTAATGTAAATGTAGTTGGCTGACTGATTCCTTTCACACTTCAGAAATGTCCTGTGTCGTTTTAACGATTATGTGGAGCGTGTGTTCTCAGCGCTACAAGTATGCGGAGCCAAAACACTAGAGAGAATAATTTATATATTTAGGCAAAACCTCAGAGGGGGCAGAATGCTTTCATGATATAAGGCTTAAAGTAAGACAAAGCCTGGGAGGGCAGAATCACCATTCCTGGAAGATCTCAAACCCCGAATCAGAATACTCTACACAAGGAGACTCTGATGTTCTAGTACATTTATTGAAGCAATCTGCCCTGGTTTATGGTGTGATAATCCCACGTGATTTCCCACACTGTCCTCGAATCCCTGAGAAAATCAATAGAAACTACATCCCTGACTCTTCTTAGCTGCTTTCTATCACTTTCCCTAAACTTGAATTTAATATGATCTTATGTATCATACATTTTTTTCTTAGAGTCGAATAGGTCCTTATAACAGAGCATTTTTCACTCCCTGGGAAAGAGGTTCCCAAGGGCCAGAGTATGTTTTCCCTTTTATCCAGAGACTCAACAATAAGCAGCTCCTCATCTTTACTCTTTCCAATAACTTGTCTTAAAATCAGTTCATTTCCTTTAAAGGAGGGGATATCACATAACATTCCCTGTTGGAGGGCATATGCAGTGAGAAAAACCACTTCCCTAAGTGATTCTTTTTAAATGTACGCCTTTTTATAAGGTATAACATACATACATACTAGCATTAAGGGTTCAGCTCAATGACATTTTATGTAGTGAACCCATTTTTGGGGCCACAACTAGAAAAAGAAATCAAAGTTTGTCAGCACCCCAGAAGTCCCTCTAAGGCCACCTCCAAGTCACTCCCAACCCTACCCTACCCCAGAAAATAAACAGTTTTCTGACTTCTATCACTATAGATTACTTTGTCCGATTTCAGACAGTATACACTCATTTGTACCTGGCTTAGCATTCTGTTTGTTGAGTCTGCTGAAGCAGTGATTGGTTCATTTTTATTGCTGACTCATACTCTGTGGTATGAAAAGGTAATAATTTATTTTTCCATTCTATCTTGGATGGACCTTTGCATTGTTTCTAACATTTAACCCTTTAAGAATACTGCTGCAATAAAAATTGTTGTGCATGTCTTTTGGAGAACACATGTACATATTTCTGTGGATATACATCAAGAAGTGTAGTTCCTAGGTCAAAAACAGTGGTGGGCTGGAGCAGTCTTGTACCGGCTTATAAGAGCCCACAGTTAAATCTTCAGGAAATTTGCAATCCAGTTGTTAAACATAGACATTATTAAAAATTGTTATATAAACTTACAATTAAATAACTTATTTAAAAAATAATAAATACTCAAAACCTTTCATATCCTTATTTTTCTTTTACTACATTTTGCTATTATTTGTTCTCTCAATATTATTTGCATTTATTGTGTCTATATGGTAGAAATATAATGGTGTGCTACTATGTATCTCTTCTCAAATCTGCATTCAAGAGCATCATGTAAGTAGCATTACACTGGTTTTGGTGGTAGTAAGTATACCATGGAAATTGGCAATTACTAAAAATCGGGACTTGACTTAGTGTTTTGTTTATCACCAAGACTTACAAAGATGGAGAAAATATTAATAATGCAGATTAAGTGTACATGTGTATCGTACTGGTAGCCATTACATTGTAAGTAGCATAAAAAATTGAGAAAATATTTTTGAATATTTGAAAACTATTATTCAATTCAGCAAACAATTGTTCCTGTTATCAACAAGTGAGTGAAGTTCCCAAACATGTCTTTTTGGCTTCACTTTTGTCTTACTTGTGAATATAAACAAAAATATCAATCAACATTTATGTTGGAAATCCACTTGGAGAATGTTAAATATTCATCAGAAAACCACTGGTCAGAAGGTATAATTATGTTCAGTTTTAGTAGAAAAGGCCAAACAGTTTTCTGATTTATACTCCCATCAGCAATACATGAGAGTTTCACTTGCTCCTCATGTACACTAATATTTTGTTGCAAGTATTTTTTTTCTTTTAATTCTGGTCATTCTGATTCATCTGAAATCACGATGTTTTTATTTGCATTTCCTAATGATGTTGAGCATCTTGTCAATGTTAATTGGCCAAATCCCTTTAGGAAGTGTCTATTTTTATATCTTTTGTGCATTTTCCTGTTGAGTTGGCTGTGTTTTTCTTATTGCTTTGCATAAGTTCCTTACATAGTCTTTGTCAGATATACATCTTATATCTGATGTCTTATATAACCATTTGTAGTATGACTTTTCCTTCCCTTAATGGTGCTTTTTAGATCTTAATTTTAATGTAGTCCCATTTATCAATCTTTCCCTCTATGGTTTTGGTGTATCATTAAAAAAAATATTTGCCTACACCAAGGTCATGAAAATACTCTCTTAGGTTACCTTTTAAAAGCTTTACTGTTCTTTCGTGTTTAGATCTATAGTGTCCCTGGAGTTGATTTTTGTAGGTGGTGTAAGATGAGGATTTAAATTATTTCTTTTCTACAAAGGTATCCAAATTCCATCTGATTTTTCCGTATGGACACCCATATACCATTTGTTCAAAATACCATCTTACCCTTTTGCAGTGTAGAATAACTGGTCATAAACTGAACAACTGTACATGTGTATGTCTCTTTCGGGCTCTGTTCTGTTCCATTGGTTTATTTGCCTTTCCATGTACGAAGACCACAGTGTTTAAAATAAGTCTTGATATAAGGTTGTGTTAAGTCCTGTAACTTTGTTCTTCCTCAAGATTGTCTTGCTTACTCTTGGCTCTTTAATTGTCATAAAATTTTAGGGTTAGCTATTTCTCAACTTGAGATAGGGATCAAAGGGGAGGGGATATCACATACATAATATGTTGATGTATACATCGTGTGAAGAAGTCTCTTCTGATTTTGATGACGCATTAGGTTTGTGAGCTACATCATTAGAATGACTTGGGCAGCAAATAATAGAAAACGTCACACCAACTGGTTTAAATGTTAAAGAACTTTGTTGTCTCACTTAACAAGAATCTATTCAAGGGAATATGGCTCCATTCGTGGTATGATCAGTATCTCTGGGTCAACTTCTGTATGATTCTGCCTTCCTTGTGTTCTGGTTTTATCTTCAGGCTAAGAGATGTCCATGAGCAACAATGGCCAAAGGAAGGAGCAGTTTCTTCTTCGTGTCTTTCTCAGGACAAAAAGTCCCCCAACCAGAATTCCCCTCTTGCCTCATTGGCCAGAATTATATCCCATGTCTTTGCCTAAATCAGTTACTAGTTAAGAGAATGGGACCACCATGACTGACTTAGATAGACCTCAGACTAGGCTTATTTCTCATTAGGTACATGTTCTTGCTGAAGTGGGTGTCTATCTGAACAAAAACAGAGTGGAGAAAGTAGTGGTAGGTAAGCATATAATAATTTCTGCTACAATTTCCCTTCAGTTACTCAATATCCAAACACATTCTATTTCTTCTATCTTCACTTCCAAAGATAATCATTACTGTGTAAATTAACGTAATTGCTTTCTTAGATGAAAATAACCCAGTGTATTTTTCAGTTAATACGTCCAGCTCTTACCAGATTCTTCACTTCCCAGAAGGACCAGAATTCTATAAATCCTCTGACCCTCCAGTACCTCTCTGTAGCCATCTCTATGCAAATGTAAACAGCAAATCTCACTGCAGTTAGCTGGGCATTTTGAAATTCTCTTTGTCTCTCTCCATTTGACATCTGCACTGACCCAAGGTCCCTTATGTCAGTAGAGCTGGGCATCATTGAGCCTTTTAAGCACATTTTCCTGACTCTTTCCAAGGCATGGACATTCAATGATTATGAAAGTTTCATTATTGCTGCTCAGTTTCTGCTTATACATGAGATCTCTTATGATTCCAGTTAATAAAAGATATCATGGCAGAACAGGAATAACAAAAGCATTTTATCACAGGATTGAGCCTTCTGATCTTGAGAGACAATGCTTCCCTATTTGACTAGTCACCACAGGAAACCGGAAAAACCGAACCTGGAAGAGGCCTCCAGGAAACCAGAAATACTCACTGGGCCTCGGAGGACTGAGCAGATGCTGTGCTGACACCATGATTTTGATCAACAGGTACAAGCAATGTCATGCTCTGATCTCATCCCAGCAACTCTGCTCCGGACTTGCTGAGAGAGAGGGAAAGAAGGGGTAAAGAGAAGCTCAGGAACTGTCTGAAAGTCACGTGCTTACTCAGCCCCATTTCCTGTACATCTTCCTCTGAATCATAGATTGATGAGGGCCAGGTACTGGAGAATATGGTAAACAGGAAGGGAGATTTATAGCTAACACACAAACTTCATACATACCCCGTCAGCTGAGTTCAAAGTCATTAATTTCAGTTGAATTTGATTACAATTTATTGAGTTACTCCAAAGCAGATAGATCTGTGTCTAAGCATCTTATTTTTAGTAACTTTTTTTTTTTTTTGCGGTATGCGGGCCTCTCACTGCTGTGGCCTCTCCCGTTGCGGAGCACAGGCTCCGGACGCGCAGGCTCAGCGGCCATGGCTCACGGGCCCAGCCGCTCCGCAGCATGTGGGATCCTCTGGGACCGGGGTGCGAACCCGCGCCCCCCCCGCATCGGCAGGCAGACTCTCAACCACCGCGCCACCAGGGAACACCCCTAGTGACATATTTTTAACTGTTGGTACAACTTCTGGGAAAGTCATGTAACCAATCTGAGGCTCGAGACTAGGAATAACTAATAGCTATTCAGGACAGTTGGTTAATAGTAACTGATGCAGTATACATGACACCTGGCACACGGTAGACAATCAGTGCTAGGTGATGTTGACTCTGTCTTCCTGATTACCGATAAGGATGGTGCATGCATGACAACAATAAAACAAAGAGCTCTGGCAGACTCAGTTCTCATAGCCACAAACGGTGTTAAGTACAAGAAAAAAAATCTGGAACCTCTCCAAGTAACTGACAGCACAACAGGACATAATGGAAAACAACTGCCAAGTGAAATCACAAATCATGCAAAATGCTCTGACAAAAGTGATCTTGAAGCAACTGCTCAAAGAATACACATATCTATTGATAACATTTGTTAGGTCGGTATAAAATATGCTATTTGTACTTCTAACGGAAGGATCATGTGAGTTGGATCACAGGAATGTATGTCAATTGCTCTCTGAAAACACTGCCATCGCACTGCAGTAGTACTTAGTATTATTTCTGAAAGACCCCAACCAACCATGAGTGTTAGCACCGTACATCAATCTTCCCAGGACCTGATAGTCTCTGGATTAACCACACTCTAAGTTTTGAGCTGAGAGAACAAACACAATACAAAGAGCTAAAAGCAACCATAAATCTTTCTGGGTCAGCCAACTTGATATCAGTGCTATTCAGGCCCCCTCTTCAAAATTTTGCTTTTATTGAGATAAAATTCACCTAACATATTTTGAGCATTTTAAAGTATACAATTCAATGGCTTTTAGTATATTCCCAACATTGTACAACCATCACCACTGTCACACTCCAGAATATTTCCATCATCCTCCAAAAGAAACCTCTCTTTTAAAGTGAACATACTTTTGGAGGGGAAATCTATAAAGTCCAGCACTAACATTTATATATTTTCAGATTTCTTTTCTTTTCTTTAATTATTATTATTATTTTGGCTGTGCTGTACCGCTTGTGGGATCTTAGTTCCCCAACCACGGATGGAACCCAGGCACTCAGCAGTGAAAATGCAGAGTCTTAACCACTGGACCGCCAGGGAATTCCCTCAGATTTCTTTTAATTCCAAAATACAATAAAAACTTTAATGTACTAGGGAAAAGGGGTCACTTGAAACAGGGAGAGAGAAATACTCTAGCATATTGTAAGTATCAATAATCCATTATTCCTGCTTCCAATGATTTCTGCCTCCTTGTAGCCACACCCTGTGTGATTTTCTCCCACATCCTATCAGGATTGGTCCAAGAGGCCAATAGAATACTGCAGAAGTGATGCTATGTCGTTTCCAAGGTAGGTTATAAAAGACGTCGCGGTTTTGCCTTGCTCTACCTCTCAGATCTCTCTCTCCGGGGGAAGCCAGCTGCCATGTCATGAAGACGCTCAAGCAGCCTATAGAGCAGCTCACCTATCAGGGAACTGAAGCCTCCTGCCAACAGCCATGGCAGGCAGCCACCCTGGAAGCAGGTCATCCGGCCCCGTCAAGCCTTCAGGTGACTACAGCCCTGACCAACACCTAGAATAGAGCCTCCGGAGAGACCCTGAGCCAGAAACATCCAACTCAGCTGCTTCTGGATTCCTGAGACTTAGAAACTACGTGTGATCATAAAGGTTTGTAGTTTTACACTGCTAAGTTTTGAGGTAACTTGTTAACGGAGTAACAGATAACTACTATAGTGGTGTTAGTGTAATGATTCAGCAAAGCTGCCAGCAGGAGAAGACGGAGTACGTGTGAAACGCATGGAAATACAATCAATGCACAAACCCTTTAACTGGCACTCAGCTTAGGCAGGTCGGACTGCAACTTCCTTTAAGGAGTCCTTTCCCTGCCACCAGGTGCCCTGTTGCAACCTTTTTTCCCAATCAAAAATAGTCCTTGTTCAAATAAAACCTAACTCATACAGAAATCAACAGAGAGTCCCACACGGTGTGATTTTTTTCTGAACTCCATTTATGCCTAGAGATGGAGGACTTTTATCCCCTCAATCTCTGTTAGGATGGAGCTGAGAGAAGGCTGAAATAAATGCTTTCCAGAAGGGCCTTCCAATTTTTCTGTGTCTATTTTTACTGGATTTTGTCTTTTTTGAAAGAGGTAAAACAAACAAAATGAAACAATTTAAAGTAAATGCAAATAAAATGGCAAACCACTTTAGAATAACTAGGGGGTCAAGGAAGAGAAGTTTGAAAATGTTAAATCAGGTATTAATACCTTCATCATTTAAAAATTTTCTGGAAAAGGACTGGTTTCTCCTCCCCTGCTTAAAAATTTACTCAGACCCTCTATTCTTTTGAGTTGTGTAAACCACTCTACAGTGTTTTGTCTTGGAACCAAAATATGTTCATATAATTCAAACCTCCAGTCTGTTCAGATCTTGTTGAAACTTCTTTGCTTTGCTAACTCCTAGTAAAGTAAATGTACTTTTAGAGTTTGGGCCACAGACTTCAGCCATCTTTGACTAGAGGTTTTTGCCTGATACCATTAATTTCTGTCACCTTGTCAACAAGTTACCAGAGGTGGGGTTAATTTTCTCTTTGCAGGAATGTGACCCAGAAATGTGTTTAATGATCCTGGGTTCTGGTTTTCTTGGATTCGCAGTGGCTCTTAGATTGCAACTCTGAGAATATGTCAGATGACGTCCAGTTATCAGCAGTTGGGAACCCAAATAAGCTCATCTCCTGTTTCATCAAATAAAAACAAGACATAGATGCATTTTGTTAATTGGGTGAGAAGGTTCAGACATTGGGTCCATGGGCCCACTGGTTTTTAAAACAGGCCAAAAAAGGTAATTAAGACACTGCTTTGGGCTCTCAGAATCAGGTGTTTAGACAAAAACGATAAGGTCTTTGAGCCAGACCCCTTATCTGCATCCTTCTCGTTTATTTCTATTGGTCTTTTTGGACTGTCCTTTGTTGGTGAGCTTACTTATTAACTAAAAAAATTTTTTGTTGCTTATACTTTGACTATTTCAATGATAAAGAGAAGTCCAGAAACAATATAATGGAAGTCTGTGTATGCAACATCAAGATTGAACAAATGTTAAAATTTAGATTCTGTTTTTTGGAGAAAGAACATATTTTAGACCAAGTCAAGACTCTACCCCTGTGGTGGACAGGCCGTGGGGTTATACCCAGTGACCCACACTCTTGTATAGGCCCCTCCCCAGAACCTGTGACTTGTTTCTAATTAATAGAATGTGGCAAAGATGATGAGATGTCCCTCTCTTGACCAGGTTATGCTATATGGCAAAGGCTAAGGGATTTTGTATATGTGATTAAAATCCCTAATCAGTGGACTTCAAGTTTACTGAAAGGGAGATTACCCTGTTTGGGCCTCACCTAATGAGGGGGTACCTTAAAAGGGGATCTGGGGATCAGAGACTTGTAAAGACAGAGAACCTCTCTCTTTATCGCTGGCTTTGAAAAAACAAGTTTCCGTGAATTCCACAGCTGCAAGAAATTGAATTATGCCAATAACCAGACGGAGCTTGGAAGCAGATTCTTTTCTAGTTGAGCTTCCTAATGAGAACACGGTCTGGTTGACACTTTGATTTAAGCCTTGGCGAGACCCTGCTCAGAGACCCCAGCAAAAAGCCTTGCCTGGACTTCTAACCTACAGAGACTGTAAGACAGTAAGTGGGTATTAGTTTAAGCCATTCACCTTGTGGTGATTGTTATTCAGAAATAAAAAACTAATACAAGCCCTGATCTCATTCCTCTACCTCCTTCCCCATAGGTAACCACACGAAATGATGTTCAGCTTTACTAGAAGGAAAGGAGCTACAAATTTAAACAATGAGGTGCTATTTCATACTCTTTGAGTTGACAAAAATCAAAATGCCTGACAACCCCAAATGTTGGAGTCATAGGAAGTTTCATACACTGGAAATGCAAATGAAAATTGGTAGAGCCATTTCAGAGAGAAATTTTATGATGCTTATGTGACAAAAATTAACTTTTAACAGGTTTTCATACTTTTTACTACATATATTTTGCATAGGTTTTAATATATAGTATCCATAAAGAATATTTGCTATTTTTGTGTGTTTTAAATTTTACATAAGTAGCATACTTTTGCAACTTGATTTTTTAATTCCGTATTATGTCATCAAGATTCATCTATTTTTATACATATATTCTTTTTAATTCAGTAAAATATTCTGTTATATTACAATACCACAGCTTATCCATTCCTCAAACTATACTGGGGCAAACACACCTGTTTTCATCTTAGGAACAGTTTCCCTAGAGAATACACCTAAAAGTGAAAATTTTAAGTAAAGCTGAGCGTCACTTCGTATGTTTTTGGTCATTCTGGTTTCTTCTTTGTTAAATGCCTGTTCATGTTTTTTACCCATTTTCCTGCAGGGTAGTTATTATTTCCCTTGTTGACTTATACGACATGTCTGTATATTCTGGCTCTCAATCGTTCACCAGTTATT